TGTCTCCAGGAAGGGGCGGGCGGGGAGCTTGGTACAGTCCGGCCGTGCCGTCTCACCCCGAGGCTGGAGAAGCTTGTCCGGCGTTGGGGGCGAGGCAGGGATTTCCCCTTGTGCCCCGACCCCTCTCCGACCTTCATCTTTCGGCCTCTTGTAATAACGAGGGAGGTTATAAGTTGGGGTCCGGTCCGAGCGGAAAGAGAGGGACTAGGCGGGAAGGCGTCCCTTTAGGGACGAGGGAATCCTTCGCCGCTCTCTTTTGTCCTTGACACCCTCCTGCTCCCTACTTTCTTACCGTCAGTGACAAATCTAATTCACGTGAGGGGAAGCTATTGGATTTCAAACCTGATCAGCTGATGTGGGTTTGCCCATGGTCTCGTTAAACGCATACACACGCGCGCGGGTGTTCGTGTGGCGCCCGCACGGCGCTTCCTGCACTCTGAGCATCGCACTGCACAGGCACGGAGGGTTAGGGAGCGGGGACAGGCCTGGCGAATGCCCCTCGGGATGAAATCAAAATCAGTGGGGTGGGTACGAGATGATGAGTCGCATTCCAGTGATTGTTTGGGGTGTGACCGTCTGTACTGGAAAGGGTATGGGCCTGTGCGAGAGGACAAGGTACAGGTCTGCCTTCTCCCGCCTAGCGTCCTTTTGGGGATGTGAAAGAGGGGGAAACTGAGGTTCTGTAAATACAAAGTCAGATGGCGTAACGGCCCTCTATCCCACTGTACAACCGCGCTCCCCGGACAGACCTCCCCAGGTCCCGCAGCGTGGCGGCTGAACAGCGGGCTGCCATCCGCCGCGCATGCTTAGTTCCGTTTCTTGATTCCCTTGTCGCTACTGAAAAGCTGGAGAAGAAAACAGGAGCGGGAGGGGGCTGGCAGGGCAAGGGGCTCTGCGTGCTTGCCCTGCTCGACGCGTCAGGGAGGTTGCCTCGCAAGCCCTCCCCCCGATACCCAAGGCGGGGGTTTGCGCTGGGAGAGCTCTGAAACTTTTTGTCGACAAGCATCAAAACGGTGACGTTTTAATGTGGGTGCAGCGGTCCCGGCTCGGGGGGTGGGTGCTCCGGCAGCGTGGGAACCGGCTTCAGTAGCGCCGTCCGTCCGTCTGTTCGTCCGTCCGTCTGCAGGGCGCGGTGCGGCGGGGAGATGCGATACTGCCAGGCGGGGAGTTGGACGGGGACGGCGACATAGTGTCCAGGGCAAGGATGAGTGTCAAAATAGTCCTCGGCTGTTCCGGGTGTTACTAGGACAGAAAGACAGCATCCTTACCAGAAGGACAGGCAGACAAAGGTCGCCGCCGCGTCTCCTCCCCTACAACCTCCGCAGCCTGTCGGGGTTCTGTCGTTGCTTTTAATCCTTATTTTTCCACCACCCCGAGCAAGACCGACGTTCAATAATATGCTCGGTCCTTGGGCTAAAATGCCTTTACTCAGAAGGGCACCTCGAAATTGTTATCCTGGTGAGCAGAGAACTGATTTATGCTCAGCTTTTACTACCTGAGAGGTGCAACCGGCTTTCTGTGTTTGTCTCCGTGCCCATCGCTGGTACACATCGGTACCAGCAGTACGACAGCTAAAACACGCGAGAAGCGGGCACGTCACACGTGCTTTTGTAGCCGCATATAGCAGCCACGCCACTTTTAAATTTAAATATTTGATGGCCGTGCGCCCACAGCCTTTTCTCACTGAAAAATAAAAATCACGTTCTTATATTTTTTGTTGGAGAAGAAGAAATAATCTCCTGAAGGCACAGAAGAAACGTCCTCTGAGAGACAGCCAAGTTATTCTTCTACCAGCCTGCAGTCTATTGAGATACGAGACAACGAAAAATTCCTAGAAGGAGATCAGGAAAATTTATTATCGAATCACACCTGACTGCCTACCAGATTAGAACTCTTCACCGCCACTCCCGCACGTAAAAACTGCATTTCCGTAACATCAAACCTTTCGGTTTCATTACTGTTATTGAAAGACGAAGGGAGAATCGCGGGAAGGTAAAAGCCTCCTGTGACCAGCTAACAAGTGGTTCCAAGAAAAAGGTCTTTCCAGACAGCACTGGTAAAAATTCAATAAGTAACGGGGGACCATTCTGCAGGGAGGAATATCGAAATATTACCGTTCTCTGGCATATCGCAGCCTCCCCTCCCCGGCCCCTGCGTTTCGTAAGCCCGGCTTCTCTTTAAACAGGCACCCACAGACTGAGACCGTATTTTGATCCCAGCAATTAACATGCGAAGCAAGTGGGGGATGGGGAGGGGCGACAATTTCACACACACACACCCCCCGCCCCAGTGGAGATGAGGGCGAGGAATTCAGACGGGGTGGAGGGCAGAGTGTGCTGCACGTCACCCGAGGGATGCTCTACCTGCAGAGCATCCTTATTCCAGCTAGATCTCTCTCTCTGTCTTTCTCTCTCTCCAGCCCAGATGCGACGGCGAGGGGTAGCATTTGGAGAGCATTGGGAGGAGCCGGGAGACAGAGGGGATCGCGGTCGGTGCGGGTCCTGCCCGCGGGCAC